CTTATATAAAAAATAAAGCCCTTGATCCACAAATAAACACAGCGCTTAATAGGTTAATATTTTTCACTTTTATGCGAGTTTTATATATATATATATATATATATATGTATAAAATAATATTACAATGATGTGCGCGCGATTTTTCTGAAATCAGCAAGTCTATGGAGTTTGCAGTAAAAGACAAGAGAAATAAAAAAGGAAATAAATGAAAAAGACATAAATTCATATCAATAAATGAACATATATATATGTATATATATAAATGTTGATAAGTTATTAAATCCGTCATTTCAAAGTCATTGTTTTATATATATCGATATATAAAATAATTTTATCAAAATTTTGTCTGAAAGAAAATACTTATATCGATTGATTACTGATTAATTATGTGTGATAATATGTCGATAAATATTATAAAACGTAAACGTGACATTTAATTAAACATCACACACACATTCATTGTTACCTATTATATTTTTTCTTATGTTAACTGCTTTGTTAATTGCTTATTTACACATGTATATGTATATACAATTTTAATATTAGTAGAACATTAAAGAATATAACTTAGCAAATGATGTATAGATTAATATAATGCGATAAACAGTCAGTGCTTTAAAGTAGATCAAAAGTAGAAAATAATTCGGATTATGTTCATTCTTTCAATAATCGGATTTGTTACAGATTATCTTGTAATATGCTGAAAGAACATAATTCGAAAAATATTTTCATAAGTTCGAGTCACTGGTTTAAGTACCATATCAATAATAAAATTAATAAAATTGTCGTATTTTTTGGAGTCTGTAAAACTAAAATTATTCAAGTTAAAATAGTTAAAATACGTGTTTTTTAAATGTATTAATATGAACAAATTAGAATTGTTACTGATCTGTCCGTAAACCAGCACTCGTATTCCTACTTATATCTATAATATTAAAACTTAATACCCAGTATAATACATACATAAAATTTCTGATCATTCCATTTCCTGTTACTGTTGAGTAACACATATTTAACGACAGCTGACAAATTTATATTTCAGCTTGTTTAATTAAAGTAAAAAGTTAGTAAACACAAGATGTCTGTTTGGATTAATTAAAAAATAAATAAATAAATAAATGAAGAGAAGTTAAGCAATTTGAATACACGACAAGGGAATTAAATCAGTCATAATATGCATATATTTTCCTCAGGTGTCTATAATTTTTGTCATAATCGTCTACCGAATACACTGGGACGGTAACAACGAATAATTTTGCCGTTAATTATTATTTATAGCTTCTTTTTCGAAGGAAAACAAGACACACGAGAAAAAAGCAAAATAAATCTTGACAATGATCGGCACATCATATGCCCATTTTATCATCGATTTTAGTAATAGTTAATGGAATTACCGTATCCACTGTAGTCGTAGCCGCTGTAACCTCCGTACCCACCCCCACCGTAATAATCGTATCCGTATCCATCGTAGCCACCGCCGTATCCTCCTTGACCGTAGCCACCACTGTAACCACCGCCATAACCACCCTGTCCCCATCCACCTTGACCAAATCCTCGACCTCGGCCACCTCTGGCGCCACGACTGCCACGGCCGCCGGGTCCACCGCGCATACCGATCATTCCATCGGGCTTGGGTGTTGCTTTCTTTACATCAACCTGTTTAATATTTTAAATATATATCATTGCTATTTTTTTAAAATTATTTAACAAAATAATTTATTAAAAAATGTTATAAAATTTGTTTGTAAAAAACTTTGTCGTTATATGCATTTAATGACACATAGAACTAACAATATATATATCATTCCATGTATGTAAAATATGAATGTAATATTATTAACATTAATCGCAATGAGATCTAAATTAAAGATTTAAATCTTGTTTTATTTTTGTCGATCGATCTTTTTATCGCCTTAGAGAAAAATAAAACGTGAAATCGTACATTTATTTTAGAGATAATAATCTAAATACTTTAAAATAAATAGATTTTATAAATATTTTATTAAAGCTTTGAAATAATATTCGACTTTTTATTCATTACTTACCTCTTTACCATTTATCGTTTGTTTCGAAGTCTTCAACAGCTCATTCACCACTTGTTCAGATTCGAAAGTGATGAAACAAAATCCTTTCCTTTGATTTTTTGTTTTGTCGAACGGCATCTCTACCTCGACAATCTAAAATTTTTAGATTTTTGTATTAATAAGAGGACTCTCTTATTTAAGGGTATTTAAAATATACAGAAACGATAAAGTACTTACAGTTCCAAACTGTGAAAAGAAATTCTTGATATCATCATCGGAAAGTTCTGTCGAAAGCCCGCCGACAAATATTTTTCCGTGTCTGGCTTTCGCTTTTTTAGGATCAACCTTTTTGTTGTTGATAACATGATCACCAGCAGACATAATCTGGAAAATTATTTTTTTTTATTTAATTATTTGATAAACAATTCGTTAAAAAATATTATAAAAATTTGTTTGTAAAAACACCTCAGAAAAAAGAATTATCGTCACGTGCATTCAGTAGCAGAACTGACTTTTTAATTATCATCATTTAAGTATCATTTAAATATCAAGTATATAAAAAATTAATAGAAACATAATTAAAATTAGTAACAATAAATATTACATTATTTTTCCGTTGTGATAAAATATAAAATTGAATACCTTATCAAGAGATTCAGCTTTAGCAAACACAATGAAGGCAAATCCTCTCGAGCGTCCTGTATTTGGATCTGTCTTGACGTTGATACTTTCAATATCACCATATGCGCTGAAATGTTCTCGCAATTCCTCTAAAAATGTATAAAATAAATCACTTTGTAAGAATTCTTTAAATTGTTTTAAAAATATTTATATAAACAATATTGTAATTTAAGCTCAGTAAAAAGTTCTTTTCACATGACAATTGTCATCCAAAGGTGTCCTAAGGGCAAAGAAATAAATCATCATCGCTGATCTTTTTTATTTTATTTTTCATTATTTAACTAAGATTTTACGAAGAAAATAAATTTTTAAAAGAGTATAAGTTTAAAAAAAAAAGTTACTTACTGTCTGTCGTTTCCCAGCTTAAACCACCGACGAATAATTTCCTGCGAAAGAAAAGGAAAATAGAAAATGTTAAAATTAATAAGAGAGAATGAAAGACATATTCGTCTTAAGTCTTTAATCATTATTGCAAAACCGAATGTTCGTAAAGAGAAATTCACGGTTTATCATCTAAATAGGATTGCTATTCGGGCTTACGATGTTGGCAAATTCTCAAATCTCTGCAACTGCGCGCAAAAAAGTTATCTGTAATGAAAACGGAAGATGGAAATGTATTTGGGCCTCTTTCGCAAGTGACTGTTACAAGTTACGGAATAGTCATAGTCTGTTATTACTCGAATACACAACTTGAGCATCAAGTAGTTTTCATCGTTTCGTATCGTCGCGCAACTTTTCTTTCACTCTTAACACCGACATGCTAAAAAAAAAAAAAAGAAAAATATAATAAAATTTGAAAATACCTATCATTCAGAGAATCCTGGTTAGCCCCGGCCGACCTGCAAAGCAACGGAACGAATTTATTTCACTAAATGAATTTCTCGAACGTATTAATTAATATAAAGGATTAAGATCGAAACGAGAATTTAACTTTTAAAAAACGAAAAAAAATCTAAAAATCCCATTTATTAAAAAAAAAAATGAAAGGAAATGTCGACTTTACCCCTGGAAAGACTATATAATCAGTGTTAAGGTATGAAAAAATTGAATGCAGACGATATGCAAGTAATGTAACAGACCTGTAGTGTCATTCGCAAAAGGGGCACTGGATCGACCATCAAAAAGATTTATATAAACGAGGAATATTTTATTCAATTAAACATCGCACATATGTAAAGACTATATATAATTATATATATCTACGACAAACAAACGCATTTAATCTACGGCTAATTAGATCGCCCATTGTCGAAATTTAGAAAAGTGTTCTTACAATGATAAACATAATAATTACAATGCAAAGCAATTACAAGAGTACAGAATACCATTCCTAGAATAAATGAGAATTGATAAAGGTAGCTTACGATATATGCATCTGTCCTTTGTATAAAGTTACAAGAAATAATCATGAGAAGAACTGCTTTTCACACCATAGAAGCCTTAATTTGAATGTTCAATTGTTAAAAAAAAAAAAAAAAGAAAAAAAAAGAAAAAAATCGAAAAGAAAACTTGGAAAAAGTATGTAAAAAAATCAATGCATCGAGAGAACAAGGTACTATTCATCGACGTTTGCGTGAGAACCCGAGCAATAGTTAGACAACTCCAGTAGACATATCACAGCTCTGCTCCTAAGGGAAACAAGAATTTAATTTTTCCAAGTGGTTACTCTGACTGCAGATTGGCCCAAAGAATATGGTATATGCTAGGATAGACTGCAACTCTATATCGAAAAGCTAAAAAGATTGTTTTCATTACGATTTAAATGATAGACAACTTGATATTTTCGATCGACATATCTATATGGATATAATATAGATGGATACAATATGGGATATTTATTTATATTTTACATGTACGTGTTTATTTATGTATATATTTGTCTCTTTCTCATTCTTTCTCTCTCTTTGTTTACAACGCTCATAGACAAATTGCGATGTAATTAAGAAGTTCATTCAAGTTATCAATTTTCTGATATATATTATATATATATATATTTTCATTCGTTTTCTGCATTCTAACAACGAGCTGCAAGCTCGGTTTTTGCTCTGACTTTGTTTTTGGCAGTGTCAACACGATTAATTGATTTACTTATTATATTTGACTCTTTATTTTTTATTTATGGCTGGTGATAAATACCGTTGGCACCAGTCACTCGCCGGTAAACAGTTGCTGGTCGGGTGACGTTTTCCACCTGTGAGCCGCCCGCCATGTGAAAACCGTTGTCGATCACCTGTAGATCAAGCCACATAAACTGGGGTTAAATGGCGTTCCGACCTACTGGACGTTTTCGCATTGTCCCTATGATTTTGTGCTTTGGTCACGCCCAAACAGCATTTGGATCGGAAATTACTCTACGCGTGACCCAGCAGGCAAGTGTGTGTCTGTGCGAGACTTTATCGATTTGACGAAATTAATTTGAGTTCCAGTGCTTGTGTGACGGAACGTGACGAACTTGAACTTGAAGTAGACTTCTCGCAATAATTAGGACTCGGAAATCACTGCATAAGGTTTTGCGGTTCACGTCGATCCCATGTAAGTGTACGTATTTGTCAATCGTGAATCAATTGACTGTTTACCATAATTCAGCTGCAATGAACCGTACGAGGATAGAAGACTCGGCTGGCCAAAAAATGTACTCGAAAGTTTAGGCTCTATAAAAACATTACGGATTATTATTTGCTTCTGATGTTGCGTTCGCAAAAATTGATCGACTGCAGAACCCACAATTTCTCTTTATCAATTACAGAGAACTACAATTATATCATTAACTAGATAGGGATAGAAAACAAGGAGTTTAATACACAAAATTACGAAAAATTTCAAAAACAGATAAATGTTATACCTCGCAACAACAGCACATATAAAGTTATAAACTAGCGCCTTTATTCGTCGTTATATAGTGGTGTCTTAAATTATTCTTGCGTAATATAGCATGCATTATCTCATTTAAATCTTTGATTATTATGTTTCAAGACGTAGTGGAGCGCCGGCATTTGGCTGTTTTACTTCCGTTATTTCATACACATGAAACTCGTGTCCCTTGAACATTTTTATTTTTAATTATAGGATAGGACGAGGAGGTGTATCTTCAAATTCATATTCAGTAACATTACTGCAAAAATGCATCTTATTCTATAATGAGGCAATAGATTAATTGTTTATATTTTATTATATTTCCATTTACCTACGTCAAGAATTTGAAGATTATGTCCGCTTCCTGAATTTTACATCCTGAAACATTCTACATATTTTTGTGAAATTGAAATAAATCCAATGCTTACCCTTCTTTGCAAAAAGATACCCCAAATAGCGTAAAAATTTGCAAAAATCCAAGGCTGCGGGAATACAAAGAGCAAATAAAAATTACAAAAAAATGATACAAAGAAAAATAAATATAAAAATTCCCTTGATATACAATTACGAACAATATGACGGAAGAAATAAAAAATGGGACGCGCACAGAATTGCAAAATTATATCTTTTTAAGTAATTTTTTTATTTACACAGGTGTCTTGTATTCTTTTATTGAGACTGGAGGAAAAGGAAGTTTCTGGTCAAATTCATCCAGCTCGAGATCCGTTACGCTGAAAAAAAAGGAGTAGAGGAAAAAGAAAAAAGAGAGCAGCGTGTGATAATGGCAGACGAGAATTTAAGATCCACCAACACACATTTTGCGTAAAATGCACCGCAATAGCTGCGTTCCATTATTCACCTTGAATACTGAAAATCTATAATTCATGTTACGTATATATATATACACATATATATATATATATATATATACATGCACAAATTTTCAATACCCACAGTGAATAATGGAACGCAACCAACGAGGCGGGACTTTTTTTCGGCGCATTGCCCTCTTCTTGAGTGATATTTCTTTGTTTCCAATATATTTCTTTTACTGGAATTAATTCTATTTTCATTTTACACTACAAACATTTTTTTTCTATTCATCCAATGCTTCAAGTAACTCGGTTCTGTGAGCCTACAAGGGACAAAGGTTTCCACGTGTTTGTAACGGAAGTTTGTAACGGAGCGCGCCCAGGTAGCAAACGCGCAAATTTCCGCTCTTTTTTTTTCGCGCAGCACAAACTACGTGCTGTATGGAAGATTCCTCGACGTTATTACGCACAACGTCGTTTCTATTCTCGTTCCTTCTTTCTCTCTCTATCTCTCTCTCTCCCTCTTATGACGCTACGACGCCTCGGGCGCGCCCTTTCCGGAGCTGCTGCCGGCGCCTCCACTCGTTCTCACCGCCATTATTGCCGCCGGCTTCTTTCATCAATGGATCCTAATCGCGAATGGAGAATCGTCGCGAAATATGGATGTTCGCGTGCACGGCGCGCCACGGAGAAGCGACGAGGCCGTATCGTCGAAACGTAGGCGTTCGTCGTGACGTCGATGCGAACGGATTACGTTCCGCGGCGGAGCGCAGCGCCTCCGCCATTTTGTGAGACGCGTGCCGACGCGCTTCGCTTGCTCGCTCGCTCGTTCGCGCGCGCGCGCGCGCGCGCGGGCGGCCCGGTCGGTCGCGTTGTCGCGAAGTTATCGCCGATTCGCGCGATCGCCGGGCTATAACGCGCCTGAAGTACGAAGCGATCGCGCAATCCGGGACAATTAATTAGCTTGCGGTACGAGAGGGGCGAGCAAACGGGAGACCCGGGAGAATTACCTGTCTTCTTGCGACTCCTGATTGTTCTCCGCAACGTTGTTCTCGCCGTTGTTCTCGGCCTCGCCGTTCTGCTCCGCGAAGTTTTGTTCCGCGATGTCGTCGCTGAAATCCTTGTTCTCCTGATCGGCCATCGCGTCTGCTGTTTATTATCGGATCTGTTGATATTATCGGATTACCCGCGTAGGTTACGATACGCGGCACACCACGATGCACTGTGTGAGCACAAAGCCACTCGAATGATCGTAGATAGCTCGTTACGCAGCCGTTCTCTTCGACTGCCCAATGGAGAAGAAAGTACGGCGTCGTGCGCAGCCCGGAGGTCCTCCCGCCGGCAATTTACGCGCGAGGCATCTTGGGACGTACGACTTTGCCGACCAATCACGTGGCGTCGCTCAGGATCGTTCGACGTGCACGAGGCACCCTCGGGTTCGATCACAACAAATATCGTGAATCCCTTTGCGACCGAACGCGATCTAATATTATGTTCTCATGTTAACCTTATAATAACATAAAATGTTTTTTTTTCTAACTTGACTTGTTAGAATCCTCGATTATTCCCTGCGTGAATGAAAATGTGAATGTTTTCATTAAGCATTCATTCAATGAGTTTCATTCATGAATGTAAACATCGAGAACATTTTTAACAGAACTTCATTCGGCTTGAATTAATAGCTTTTGTTTCGTCTGTTAAACTTTATTGTTGAATCGTTTGTTAAAATACGATCAATCGTAATTAAAAACTGTTTTACTCAGATCGAATTATTGTCTTATTTCTAAAAATATTGAACTATTTAAAAATATATATAAGTATTGTTGAATATTGAAATTCTTAAAAATTCAAGATTTATAATTAGTAAAATCTTTTTATATTAAATTTGTTTTCTAGATTTTTTAACATTTCATTTGTAATACTTCATACTGAATTGTTTTAAAAGTGATTTATCATAAGCGAGATCTGTAAACAGTTATATAGTAACATTTTTTAATAAATAAAAGTTTCTGTCCGATGTGGAATAAATGGGAACCGAGATAAGTCTAGTTCTTACGTTCCTGGTTGCGTCCGGATCGATGGTTAGAGAATGCGTCATCAGCGGGAGAAGTAAAGGGAGAAGTAAAGGGGGTGGAGAAGGAAGGGATGGAAGAAAAGAGACGGATTTAGCATTACACGCATCAGAAATTTCAGTCACGTGACTGGCGGGAGAGAGAAATAGCCAATGAAATCGCTGAAAGACACTATTCTCGACCATCGACCAATGGAAGATCGCCAAGAATCCCGCTCAATTTTGCTGTGATTTTATCCACGCTCATTTACTTCTCAAAAACTATAAAACAATACTGGGATACGCGAGACAAGTAAATTTTATTGTAATATAGATCGCTGAAATAATCGGCGAAACGAAATCAAGCAGCATACAACGGCGTGGCATTTTTTGTTGCATCGGTGATGTTTGTAGATGGCACAAAAAATGCCTTTCCTTCCTTTCGTTATGACGCTGAAGATGGCGCAGATAATGCCATCTGTAAATTCGCGACACTCGATAAGGCTGCAGTCAAAGTCTCGTTAAAAATGCTTTGAAGCGTTTGGTTGATCAAGTAGAAAAAAGAATTTTATAAATTAACCAATCAAAAATTGCTTTAAAGCATTTGTAACATCACGTTGATCATACCCACTGAGAAGAAACCTGAGAGTGGATATCCCGGCCTTTTTATTTGTATACCAAACCTCGTAAGTGTCCACGTTTTTGTGGTTCTTTTCCATACTATTACGACATGGATTAGACAAAAATGAATAATCAACTTTGGCCGATATTTATAATCAGTTCTTATATTCAAGACCGTCTTAAATTCTATCTTGATGTCAATCAATCAGAGGATCGAATTAGTGTCTTAAGACATTATTTAAGACGGTCTTGAAATAAGAACCGACTATAATGAATACCGGTCTTTGATTGTTTGTCTTTGTCAAATAGTATGGAAAAGAACCACAAAAACGTGGACATTATCCTACACAAATAGAGCTCTAGAGTTTCTCTCTGCTCGATATTACAGGAAACGTTTTTATCTCACTTTGGTCAAAGCATGTTAAGCGCAATTATCTATAGCGGATAAAACATTAGGGGATCTGTTTTATCGACTTAATAGGACTTGCATAATTTACGTATATTGATATGTATTATTAATATATATTGACATATTAATATCATACTTCACATACGCATACATTTTTGTAACGTGTTTTTATATCGAAATTATATATGTCTAATGTCCATTTCGACTAATTTAATTTTAACTAATTTTAGTTCTAAAAATTAGATCAAAAAGATGAAGAGTAAATGGAACTGATGAGATTAAAATTCATCTACATTCCCAGTATCCGAAAAATAAAAATTATGACATTCGGCAATGTCCATACGAATCCATTTCTATCTATTTCAATTCTTTGAGATAAAAATAGATTCGTGGTAACCGAGGAGCATAATTAAATCTAATTCGACATTGTTCGTACAAATTATTGTTATAGTTTATGATGGGTATAAATAATTATTTGTTTAAAAAATCGTTTATATCTTTCTTTTAAGACTACCCTATACACATTACTTCATCACGATTGATTTTTGTCTCGATACTAAATGGAACTTTGATAACCAACTTAATTCTCAACGTCGCGTAAAATTTTCGTGAAATCCGCGGAAGAAATTGTATAAATATGCCGCAGGAAGAGAAGGTAAAAAGAGATGTCTTTCCCATCGAGTTTTGAAGATAGAAAAATCGCAGGTAGGAAGACATTAATTTCAAGCATTTTGATAAAAAGAGCGATTTTAGGTTCTTAAGTTGAACGATGTCTGGCATACTTGCAATAAGATACGAGCCGCCGTGTTTCGCGTCGGACTCGATCTTTGGGAGTATTACAAGCCTCTGGATCCCGATAGACGTTGTTTAATATCAGGTATAAATATCGAACATTGGCACCGAGACGAGCGATCGCTTCAAGCACTTCTAAAGTTAGTTGTTGTGTGGGAATGTTTATTTCTGGACATTCTCGATGTAATGAAATTACTTTAATTCGAATTTCTATTATATATACTCTTTTTTTTTTCTTATCCCTTCACAGAATGTTTCAAAATTATTGGATGTTTTTTTTTAACACAATGAAATTGACTTTATTTATTAGTTGTAATTATTAAAAATTGCTAAATTATGTACGTTTATATATATATATATATATAAATGTAAGATATATA